CGTCTTGTGGCTGTCCCGAGGAGGCCACAGTGACAGGCAAATCGGGAACCGGATGCCGCCAACCATATATTCAACACTACCAGTTACATTACAATTGGTTGAGTTCCACAACACATAAGAAGAAAAAATAGATTGAAAGGGAAAACATCTGTTAGGGTAGAATAGTCTCACAGCAAGTGCGCCATTGTATACGATTCTTGACCATATCCTGTAGTGTTTGCAACCAGATGTGTTCTGAGTCCCTTGTTCCCTAACCCAGGTGTCAGGAAGGCCCAAGAACAGCCAGCTTCAACATTTGCGCCTTGATGCATTGGATCCAAGTTTTACAGTGGCCTTGTTGTCGCTTCCACCCCACATCTGCGTTCGCAAATAGGGCACGTCGTTGTAGCCGCTGGGTAGGCGTGCGGAGCATATGCCCAAGCCAGCGAAGTCTCGGCAGTGGAATGATGCTATCAATTGGTCGGCGGAGTTCGTTAGATCTGAAGACTCGTCGACGGACTTCCTCATTACTGATACGATGCTACCATCGAACACCAGCGATGCTTCGCAGGCAGCGGTGATCGAAGACAGAAAGCCGTTGAACATCGCTTTTGCGAACGGGCCAAGTCTCACAGCCGTACAGTAGAATCGCTCGTACGGTAACATGTAGACTCATCCCTTGAGCGCGAGGCGGAGATCACAACGAAGCCACAGGTGACGTAGGTTAGCGAAAGCGATTCTAGCCTTGGAGACACGCAGGGAGATTTCGTATGTCAAGCCGCCAGTACTAAGACAACTCCCAGCCGGAGGAGTAGTAGAGTGGTATAGACAAAATAAATCGAACTCGTCACATATAAACTCTGTCAGACAGCGATCACACGACCAGGGGAAGTATTGTATGGCCATTTCATCTTTTTTCGAGAATCTTTAGCAGCGCACATTTCATCGGGCCCCTGTGGTGCTATATCTTGTAACTGAGCCTAGTTGTTTTTAGGGAAAAGATGGATTAGCTTCGGAAGTGGATCCGTCACATCTGCACTCAGATAGCCACTACACATCCGGAAGAGCACTGGATGACAGTTTCCTCCTTTCGTGATTCGTCGGTAGTGCGCATTCATGGTGGGTGGCTGCGACTCTTCGATTTTGGATCAGCGGTTGTCAAGACTACTGGGCCACGGGCGAGGTGCGGCAACCACTGCGATCAAGCAACTAACTGTGCCATAACGTGACACTTGTCCTCCATTGCCACACACGTTTTCACCGTGAATATCACAGAGCTTTAGGCCCAGCAACGACTTACATCACGTAGCTGCCATCGTTCCATGATATTATTAGTTAGCCCAAGCAATTACTGATTTTTAGACAGTAGTGAGGCGAGGGATTTGGATTAAATTTCCGAGGATATTCCTCACGGCTGCGCCCATTCAATTAAACTGGCTGCCGTCCCAATTCTGCCGACAGTGTGTTCCACTACAAGACTGGCACGCAATTCCGGGGTTTCGCAAGTATAAGTCGTCTAATCAAGCTCCCGTAGCACTAGATTCAATATCAGAGATCGAGACGTCACTTGATGTTTTCCGGTCGATTTAAGGCATTTGATGAAATAAAACCTAACCATGTACGTTAACCTGGCTTGGCTGCATCATGGGCCAATGCTCGATTTGAAACGCCTACGTTAACAGCGGACCATGACATGATCCGCGACCGCTTTTCACCATTACCGGAAGTGGAGCAAACGATTCCCTGGAAAGAAAAGAAAGGCATCAACAGTACGCCGGTACGCAGTACCGCTACCGCGTAACCACTGCCGGTCGCACGTGGGCTTAGGATACGGTGAGAGTCGCCCGATCCATACGCAAGCTCAAATCCGCGCCGTCAGATTACAAGGCAGGCTTGTGATCCTTAAGGCTACGGGCCTGGAATGTCGATCGAGAAGGTATTCGAGCGTGGTGTTTGGTGAGCCTGACAAGACGTTATGACATCGTTGATTTTATATTTTTCTCTAACAACATAGGGTTTCTGTGCAACCGGGATTTTGCTATTATGTATGGAACTGCACCATATGCCAACGACTGTTGGGAAATTTGGTGAACCCTTGCAATACAAAAACGGAGTCATTTCTGGAACTGCACGTAGGGTGACCAGGAGAAGTATAATGCTCTAGCTGACAGAGAAGCCCGGTGGGCTTTGAGCACTTGAGAAAGTGAACAGACATGATATGTAGTAGATTATCTTGAGCTATTCCGGCCCATGCGTTTCAATGGTCGCGAGAATCCAATCCCCGAGAAGGTAAACCAAGACATAATTGGCTTATTCGTTTTGGGCTATTTTCATGAACAGTTTAGTTTACTTCGCCCTTGAGCCGTTTTAGCTTACGTGACACAAGTTGAACTAACGGTCTCGATCTGCATCTGATGTTCGAAATGCGGCCATAGCTACCAACCGCTTGTGCGCTGCTTACCTTGATTCTCGTGCCATCGTTGTTTAAATCTGAGCACGACTGGAAGGGATGGACCGTTTAGCCCGGTGGGACGAATCTTTCATTATCGCAACATATGAGAAAAGCAGTTTCAACGTCCATGTCACATACCGGGGTCGATTCAATGACCATTTTATCCCGCTGCCTATTTAAGTACTGGGGATCAAGAATTGGGGAGGCGTGAACAGGTTTCGAGCAATATGCTGCTGTCCAATTTACACATTAACTCTGCCCTTTGTTAGAGCATTCTCACTCGGACCGCAAGCCTATTGCGGCTGTTTTTCAGTTTTAAAAATGCGTCGATTCGGTACGTCACTACGTTCCGCCCGATATAATTAACAAGTATTGGTTTCTATGAAATATGTGAACATTTTATATGCCCGAGACTCAAACACCTCAAGCACATTAAGGTCTGCGAGGACTTGTCGGAAGTAACCGGCGTTCGCCGGCGTTGTCAGTTTCTTCATCTCCATTCACTTACAACGTTAACTCCAGCATAGAATGTTCCCTTGTTTCGATGGCTGGCAAACGCCAGATGATACAAACCACATTTATTGGTTTGCGGTGGTTACAGTATTTGGCAAGCGCTTGCCGGTGCGTGGCCGAAAGAAGCACATGCTTGTCTTGTCATCCGGAGGTCACTGGTTCGATCTCGGCCGGGGGACCTCACGACCCACGCAGTATCTTTGGCCCATGCGCGATTCGTGGTGGTTGCATGGCAGCGAAGCGTCGGTACTGCTTTTTGCGCGAGCGCTTCGCATTTTCGAAGTAATGTTGAAAGACCACTAACCGCTTACTGTTCTTTTGGTCGCTGATAATGGGAAACTGGAGACAGTTGACCAATGCCTTGCAACTACCTTGGCAGTTGCGTTAGAAGCAATGGACATTTGAAGTTATTCCACGTACCGTGATAGCTGGAGTTGCCACTATGTATATGCGCCATCTCCGGCTCTGGAGCGAAGTTTCCACTTGTCTTAGCGCTCATTTATGCAGGACTTGCGCGCCGACGTCGTGTATAGTCGGATTGGGCTTGCGTCTGAGGGCGTTATGACAACGCTTGGAGAAGCGTCGAATCGCCGGGTGAATTGTATCACGTATTGTTCAAGGGTAGGTAGGCAGAGAGGCCTTTCTGTTCGGAACGGTCGATTGCTTTTCCTAGTAGTCTAACGCATGGACCCATGGAACAATTTCGTGCTTGATCCGACCAGGAACCGGGAGCAATCAGTCCACTCTCAGACCACGGGAGTTTTGCGCCTAGGAGGGATGTTTTCATGAGCGAATTCGATGGCTTGTTGGCTCCTCATCATCAGTCTACTCACCTGAACCCACCTAAGACGTGAATGTCACAGTCCCGACCATCCGTGAGCTCCCTACACGACCTGATGATAATGGAGTGGTAGAGTACGTCTTGTTTTGAAGAGTTTCAGCTGTCCTTGCTGGTGACTCACCGACGGTTTGTTTAACCGGTACACAGAGAAGTGATGTCACACAGATGTTTGTCAACAGTCAGTCCCATCTTTGATTCGTAGAACGGAGCCGATGTCGTCACTGTGTAAACAGGCTCGGGGACCTGCCTTTTGATTCACATTATATTTATATGTATCTTACTAAGCTTCATTCAACGAAAAGGCCCGGTTGATGAGTCGACCGACATCTGTCGCGTTCTGCGATATCAAGAGATTCGTATACACATTGATCGTTCATCAAGGGAAGTGGAGCTACCTATTCGGTAGGAGAGCTTATTCCTAGATACTATTTCGGTGCACTTTCATGCTTATGTCCCCAGTGGAAATCTACACTGATCCGGCTTGAGGCTAACTGGCCATGGGCTAACCAAGCTCAAACAGTGAGAGCGGTGGGGTCATTCGTTCATCTATCTAATCCGAACCACTCTAACCGTACTTACGTCTATAGCTCTTAGAACCTCATTTGAGTTTGTTTTAAATATCGTTGGACATTTTGGACATTTACCGAACCAGAATTCGCGATGAGTGTATAAAGTCATATCAGTCTATCACGAATGGCGTAGTACCGAGGCACGACGTTGATAGGCTAAATGATAGCACGCGTGAAATTCATATGGGTGACAGTTGTACTTCGATTCCGCCTTCTAGAAAATTAGTGATGTCCCCTCCCAATACATCCATCGCTTCTTTTTCTCTGGTCCTCATTTCGCTTTGTCATTTGCTGCATACTTCTGTCCGTACTGTAATTCCCCCCCCCCCCACTAATCTGTCGGTGTGATCTACTGCGGACCGGTTCTCAGACTAAATACCACAACTCGTCAACACAGTTGTGAAGGCATTACTCGTGGCGAGTCAGGTGCCATCTTGTGCCGCTGACATCTGAAACCACTCTCATGACCAAAGGGAATGACGAACTCCGCTAGTTTTCGAGGCGGGTGTTACACACTCAATCCAGCATACAGTTCTGTAGATGTTTGGAAATAAACTCAACATTCGCGGCACGCGCGCTGGTGTATTTCTTTCATACACGGTTGTATAATCAGCCCAAAAGAGGGATGTTGCAATATTCATTCACTGCAAGTACGAGTAAAGACGTATATTTTGTGATACCACAGTATATTGCAAATAACGAATGTAGGATAGAGCTAAGAAAACAACACATGCAAGATTCAAATTCCGTATGCGAATGCCTTTCGTAAACCAACGATGTCGTCGTCGTCGTCGCGAAATCAGTGAAGTACAAAATGTGATGTCTTATGTGGAGGTGAAACTGTGTCATAAGTATATAAAATAAATGCCCGGCGAGTGGTGTGCACATATGCAACACAAAGGGTAAGACAAGTTGGAAACGTGAAATGGAAAACGCGCACAAAAATGCTAAGGGAAACTGACGAAGGGGGCCATTGACAGACTGGCTCTCTGCTACAAAACTGGCGACCGTTCTGAATACGGAACGAAAGAGTAAATGTAGAAAAGATGAGCTCAAATATGGAAAGGATATCGTGACGAAAGTAAACTAACCGGCAAGGGTTACCACAAAAAAGACGGCGGAAGCGCGCACAGTGTAATTTCACGAAGAGATATCATGAGGACTTTCGCGCCGGCTGCCGTTGTTTCGTAGCACTAGTGCAACCATTGGATTCCGCATATGTTTGCCGATCAGGCAGTTTCGGGATCAATTTTGCTGAATTTACTCATAGGTACCTGAAATGTCAAAGATTGGAATTTCATATACACTTTGCAAGCTTATGCAGTACTCCACCAACACAAAAGAAAATATGAAGGTATCAGCAATATACCCGTATGCAGTGCCGACGCTTAGCTGCTGCGCGACCACCAGCAGTCGCGTGAAGGTCGCCGGGTCCTCTGGGCAGACTCGAACCCGCGCCCTCCGATTACGAGACAGGCTTGCGATCGTTTAGGCTACGGGCTGGCTCAGCACACGAAAGATGTAGGTCGAAGGAAACCCCGAAAACTCGCTGGATTAAGTGGGGGCACGGAAGTATCTGTAGTCAGTGAACCTACGGTTAAGGGTTTCCAGCGTCAGTTAGACGCTCTTGGGTGGTAACACGAAACCTTTCTCTTCTCCTGACCATATCCATCTTCAAACTTTTAGTTCTTATTCTGTCATTCTCTTCACTCTTTGGTGTTATCCTTCATTTTAATAACTTTCATTCCCCTTTATCTTCCATTTACTTTCTACTTCTTTCTTACTTCACGTAACCTACATAGCGGGGACTGCTAGTGTAGGGAACGTGGGCAGTAATCGGTTGATCAGGGTGTGTTTCGGGTGTTTCGTTTTAGACCTATCAAGAGCTAGCACCTTATTATTTCCTGGCTCAACGATTTGCTCAAAAAGGAGCACTCAAAGGATTTTCCTATCGTTCCAGTCTATCTGAATCTGAACCTGAAGCAAGAACATTTCAACTGGATGAAACTGATACAGAGGCTATAAGAAACGACGAACTATATGGTTAGCTAGATCACAAAATTGTATAAACCACACCGTGATTCTTGTTTCGAAGAAAAAATGCCGCGTAATCTTCGAAGATTATCTATTCAGATAGATATGTTCGTTTGAGACAGTGAATCTGGTTTGCCACCGCAGCGACTGCTGTACTCTGAAACCTTGAGCTAGGTATGTAAGTGAGGATCTGATGGAGGTGATTGGCATACGTAGGTACACCCATCACTTACCAGTAATTGTTCAAGTCGCATACCACCGAGCAGATATATTAAAACATCAGCGGGAATGCCTATTGTGAAGATAGCTGGGACGGACAAACGTCATGATTTATCGTACGAAATCTTGCCTGTTGTTTATTCGCTACCTTAACGCAAGAAAAACGATTACACCATCCACGTTACCCACAATTGTCCGCACCGATGTCGAGTGTACATGAGATAAGGTAAATTGTCGTCAACACTCTGGTGACAATCTCCCCCCTTTCGACTGAGAATTCCAGCGGTGTGAGCAACTAGATAATGCATATAACCAATTGGAACTGATTCAAAATATTGGATTTCGCAGTTATGATACCATCCAGGTAGCTTCGAGCGAAATTCATCCTCTGCTCAAGGTGGGTTCTGCGCCACAGATGACAGAACAACCTTGAAATGTCAGTAATCGCCTCCACGGTTATGCGCTAGCGGAGTATGGCACTCTTCCGTCTTTAATGTGGCTACTTAGTGAGAGTTCAAGAAACGTTTCTCGGTACTTGCCGCGATTGAAGGAATAGGCAGCAGTACGACAGAAATGCGGACAAAACACGCAGCGTACTCTATATATGGACACTGGCAGCGAACTAGACACCTACCTTGAAGAAGACCTGTGTAGACTGTTTTTCCCAATGGGGAACGGAGCACGTTGCTAATGGGAAGAGAATACCATATATAGTACTTGATATAACCGCATCAATGGCGTGCAGCAAATCGATGTCACTCACGAACTGCGGATGATGGTTGTTTGGTGAACAAAATTACACATTGAGAGCCTATTATGAACAGAATCAAATGAGTAAACGGAAAGATATATGCTTTCTGATTGGAGGGTTATTTTTAAGTGCTCGTTGTGTGCTTGGATTGCCACGTGAGACCACATTGTGGACCGTGATTCGCAATGAAGTGTACCTTGGTCAATTAGATCACTAGGACCGAAGCCGATGCAGATCGAAATTGGGTGTTGCCCATCTGAGAACATTGCACTCCGAAGCTTGCTATCATTACCTGATGATATTAAATAAGGTCGAAACGCGTCGCAGAGTACAGTGTTTTCGGGCACACAACTTTTACTTTCTATCTGCTTTCGACAGAAATCGGGGCAAGCGGAAAAATAATTTTGCGCTTTGAATTGTTGCCTAAGCAGTCTCCAGCATTATCTAATTGCCTTCGGCACATGCTTATCACAAATCTTGCACGGTGACAGAACGTCCATCAAATCAATCGCGTTCGTCATACTCGACTCGAATGGTGTGACCCGAACTCGCACACACCAGGGCGCATCAGAATCTACGATGGATTGTCGGATGCTTTCGTCACAAACATGTGGGGTACACTAGGATCATCCCGTTTTTACCCTGCTCGCCGTTTACTACACAAAATGGCATCTTGTTGCGGGAATTCACGATGCGAACATCGCATCCCTACCCGTAGGAACCTTCTCGGTATAGACCCTGTGGACGGTATCGTCTTGCTACTTGGTAATCTTGTGAGATCAGGGTCGACTCTGAGCAAGCACTTCGGAGCGGTTGCATCCCTTGCTGCGTACTGCGCAAGTTTGGTGTGTAAAGTGCTTGCAAATCCTTTGACTTTTGGTGACAAGGAGTTGGAGATGGTCGATTATTTTCTTATTTTGCCTGCTGTAAAAGCTGGAGCGTGACTACTGAAGGTGGTTCATGCACTACCTCTCATAGATCCAATTCCATGAATTTGTGACACTGTGGAGCTAGAACAACACTTCCCTTGGTCTTAAAACTAGTTATACAGGGACGTGGTGAGGACCGTTGTCCTCTGTGACAGTGAGATTTAGCCGTGTCGGCCTGCAGATCTCAGGTGCTTTCAGGTCTTTGTGCACAGTTGTCTATTAACCACTGTTTGTATCGAGTGACGCTAGCGTGTTTACATCGACTGGGTACGTAGGATTAAGGCGCCCGGTCCCATCAGGCTGATTCGTTGGACCAAAAGTCACGACGGGACAGTTTGCACTAGTTCGTGTGTGTAGCGTTAGTGCCCTTCTACCAGGTTGTACTCCTGCCGAAGTGCTATAAGGGTCGATTTCTGTCCGGCTGACCACTTTCTAGATCACAGGGGCCGATGTCAATTAGGCCAATATCAATTTGAAGCACGGGACGGCAATGGTTGCACCGAAGCAGCGCCACTGCCCCTATGCGCCTTTGGCTCTAACATCTAGCTACTGTTAATTGCCAGTAAGTAGTCCATTTTAATTACATCAAAAAGAGGTATGAATGTGGGCCGCTCGGAAGGGGTGTTAACAGAACCGTGATGTTCGCACGCGTTAGACCAGAAAGTAACTTCCAATGGTGATCGTTACGGATTATTTCAGGGCACGTACTTCATCAGAAGTGGATACGGTGGGAATAAACAAGCTATCTTTGAGAGAGAGCGATAACTAATAGTTCAATGGGATAAAAAGAAATAGTCTCACGAGACCCACAGGATGGCAAAAGAAAATCCAAGTGTTCCGATTTGGAATGTGAAATAGCAGTAGTCTATACATCGCACTTTATCATACTGATATGTAGCATTTATCATTTAGATGATTCTAAAATCTTTTACTATGTTTGGTGCTTTCACCACATGTGTTGGTAATGTATTTCAGCGTGAACATATACTAGGAAAGTAAAAAACGTCTGTAATTCAAACGGGAGTGCAGAGTTTCAAGTGACCTCCTCGGCACTGTTTGGAAGGGGCTAGTCATAAGTAACTTACATGGGTGAATGCTCTCAGTTAGTGTCTGGTATGTGTGAATGAGATCTCCACGAAGCCATCGGTATCTGAGGAGAAGACACCGAGTAAAGAAAGGCGCAGTTCATAATTGAGATTGAATAGGCCACGTGTTACCTTGGTGGTTTTTCTCTGAGACTGCTCTAAGGGATGAATATCTCATTTTAACCATGAAAGCAGGACTGAACCGCATATTCATAGTGGGGACGAATATATGTGTTAATCAAAAGTGGTATTAGTCGTTGCTCAAAGTTGCCGAGAGTTCACCTCAAGTTCAAGTTCGCCACATTTGCCGCTTGCGAGCATTTGAGCGAATTGTCGAGACTTTCTCGTACAATGATACCTAAGTCCCTTTCACTAGTCGCATGCAAAACGTGCTGTCCCAGAACATATGTATTGAAGCGCATACGCGCTGTCAGCAGGTGGCACTTTACAGAATTCAGGGGGAGCTGGTTCCTTTCTGCCATCCATAAATCCGATCTAGGTCCTACTGGACTTAGGCACGGTTGGATGTTGAGCGAACACTTCTCCATAGCTTGACATCATCTGCAAATGTTTGCATCGGGGTCAGGATGTTTCCTGGGAGATCACTGGTAACTTGAAAATTCCCATTTAAGTCTCCAGAACGAAAGACCATCTGGTGAGCAATTGCTTTCAAAGATTCATCAGACCATTACAATCATATGGTGGCTAGAAAGAAAAATCGATCCAGTTAGTACAAAACGAGTTGATCACGTGAAGGTCTATGTCAGAGTTGTGAAAACGAATTAGGTCTTAGAGGGCTAGTTGTTTACTACCGCGTCTGACCGAAGGCAGTCGACCTGGGCGTCTTCCCTCTTCGCTGGCCAGGGAAGCTGGAGAGCCTGGACCAGATTCTCCTGTGAGCATAAGGACGGCTGGAACAATCGAATGCATATTGCTTCAGTTGTCGCAAGCGTACGAAAGCGGTAACTTTTCGTTCGGTGCGGCGGAACCTTGTAAACTATTCGGAAAACGCGTTTCCAATCCACCTCATGGCCGGTGTCCACAACGTAGGACAGAATGGCGCTACTAATGGTCCCGGCGCCCCCTTGACGCAGCCAACGAGGACAATGTTCGTTCACGCGTTTGGATAACTGCCGCGCCGTTCGACCAATATACGTCGCGCCACAGGCGCACACGAATTGATAGATTACCAGTGAGGTGGTCAACATCGGCACCTTGTCCTTGTTTTGTAAACGAATGAGTGGTTCCGTTGAAAA